GTTGTTCCTGTAATTGAGACTGATGTAGCTTATCGAGGTATCTATATTTATATTAAGGGTTATATACAGTATAAAGGTAGATACAGTATTAAGGGTGTACCTACATATTTGTGTTGCCTACCTGAGAGGTTAAAATGGTGTGCACATATTACACAAACCATGGGGTATTCATGGCTTCATAAATCTGAGAAAAAGAGCACACGTGCATATTTCTCTGTTGGTGCTCATTCATGAATTTACACCGACTTCTGGAGTGTGACAAAGTAATTATCTGGCTGTTTGTACTGCTGATGTTCTTTGTGCTAGAAGAAGATGAAGTCAAGTCTTGTGTCTTTGATTTCAGACGCGTTACATATTGCTCTGGGAAATGTTAGCGTTAAGTGTTTCTTAATCTCTGTGATAACCAAATACCACATCTAGGTAAGGACAATCCTATTTGAAAGGCTGTTTCAAGCAGTATCTCCTTATTTTTTTCAGGGTGAGTTCATCTCCATGGGTATTTACTCCTCTGGGAACAGCTATGGAGTCCCTGAAGACCTTATCTACTCATTCCCTGTCCAGATCAAGGTAAAACTCATCTAACCTTGTTATCTAATACTGTAGCTAGCAGTGAACTACGTCATTTCTGTCGGAAGCTTGTGTTCCAAAATATAAAACGTATAAATGTATTTTGTTTCCTCAGGGGAAGTCCTGGAAGATTGTGGAGGGTCTGACCATCAACGAGTTTTCCCGATCAAAGATGGAAGCCACAGCAGCCGAGCTGATCGAGGAGAGAGACACAGCTGTGTCCTTCCTGGGAGTATGACTAGACCCGGCAAAGCCCACCAACCAACACTTAGACAGACCCAACACTCCAGACGCACGCCTGTGATAAAGCACTCCAGTGATAAAGCACTCCATAAATCCCTGCATTACTTTGTGTGTATGTATAGGAGAGTGAGTCAGTGTTTATGAGTGTAAAGATGGAATTACACTTGTGCGTTGCAAAGCCTTTGCACCCTTATGTGCACCTTTTTCAAAAATGTAAATCAGCTACAGAGCTCTCGGACGGAGACAGTAATGGGTTGATTGTACGTTCATTCACACATTTAATGATTGTGAAAATGTTCTGTCTACTTTGGCTATTGCAAAGCATATTGTCTATTTACTAGACACAAGAGACTCTCCACTATGACGCACAAGTATAACTCTATACTAAAGGTCCACCAAATTTGTTACAAGCTATTTTACAATAATTTTTCTCCAAGTGAAAGATGGATGGTTGTTACATTTAGTCAATGATGTACTAAGTCCTCCAACACTGGGATGGATAACTTTTAAACTAAACAATAAAATATTAAAAACTCTACTTGTCTTTTTTGCTGATTTTACATTAATTTTAAAAGTATGTTGATCATTTTATAGGAAAATGTAGCTGTAATACTTCCAGGTTTTCTTTATGTTTGTACCAGGAAGTATGGATGGTGAAAGTACCAGTTTATTGTATATCACTGTTCTACATGTATGCCCATAGGTGTATAGACAACAATATCAAGGTTGTGTTATTGATTCTTATTGATGCTGGCATCACTTTGTTAGAAAATGTGGTGGGGACAATTTCTCCAGATTTAACATCAGCATAGCAGAAGACAAAAGATATTCCTCTCCTGGGTGTTGAACCTTGAGCACCTGCATGAAAAACCAATGCATATACCTCTGGACCACCATTGTGTTTTTAAAACAATGAACGTCCAACTAAATGTCTTCTTGTGATGTGATTTGGATTTAATTTGTACCTTTATTCACACAATGAGCGCACGGGTATGGAGGACCGAACAGAACTAAAAAATAAATGATGCATGAATACAGGAAAATAAATAAATACCAGAATAAAAAAAATAAAAAATTCATAAATATGGAAATAAAAAAATGAATATATAAATAAAAAAATATAGGTTGAGAATAAAACAGAAAAAATATTATTATATATTGTTAATGTATTTATACATTTATCTCACTTATATATTAGTCATTAATGTGTCTGTGCGTGTTTCACACAATGTTGTTTTGCTTGGTAGCCTCGTATTCTGTGGATACGACAACATTTATAACAAATTTCAACTGCTCTGAAAGTTTCAACAACTGCATGTGTTTTCTTAAACAATATCTTTGAGTTGCTATCATATTTTATTTAATGTCCTCTGACCAGTCCCACATTTATTTGGAAGCTTTGTGTAAAGTTGTACAACACAGTGCAAGGAGAAACACAGTGACTCTTCTCTCCTCAATAAATATTTTAACACCGGGAATTTCCGGCGTATTCATGTGTTGTATAAACCTTAAAGCCCCCTGAGATAAAAGTACCATTTGTGATATTATAATTTAAATAAACCCACTCTTTTATTAGAGAAATATATCTTAGTTAAGCATTGCATTGTACTGTATATCAGAAACTAAGCTACAGTGCAGTCATTGTCACAGTTTCACCAGGCAGGGGCAGCATTTCCTAGTTTCTTTTACCCTTTACCCCTCCTAGCAGCATGATGAATGATTATGTAATATCTGAAACTAGTCAAATTCGGAATGTGTCATTGTTTACTTATAAGGTCAAATTCATTTACAGGGACACATCTACTTAAACATGTTTCCCACTCAAATGGTGGTGGCGTTCTGGCCAGTCTACTAATATATGTACACATATATGGATATACTACTAAAAGAACCCAGTACTTTAAAGCTCTTTTCCAAAGATAAATATCCGTACAAATAGATTATCTTTTTTTAGGAGTATTTCCTATATAACAACATTCTAAATCACGGATATCAAATCGTACGTTGCAGAATTCTATTGGTCGACAGCTCTGCGTCACGGGGAATGAAGCATTTTCATTGGCTGCGACCTTCCTCGAACGCCTCTTCCTGGAATGTTACTGTTGTGTGAAATATCTTCCAATTAACCACCTTTTTAAAGTGTTATTTTTAAACGTTTCACTGCGATGACCAAGGGGAACAGAAGCCAGATGTTTTAGGGTGGAAAACCTGTGTTTAATAATACTAAATACCTCTGTATCTCCTCTGCGGGATCGCTGCAGGACCAGGCCATCGACTTTTCTTCAGCCAGCATCATACAGTCCCACAGTAAGGATTCCGGAACATCTTTAAATCTATTTATATAACATCATTTGCTTCTAGTTTTGCATCTAGTACAGTATTTCTTATTTGATCGATAATGGTCGTTTTTTCCCTTGTGCTGTGTTCCTCCGTACTGAATTGTCTTAATGAATGTGAATGGGTGCTCACTGAATGCTGCGTAAATGTTGATTTATGTCCATGACTACATTCAGTCCACACATGTATCCATCCTTCATTCATTCCCACAGCCTCCTCTAAAGTCAGACGGGTCATGCGGATGGGGGTCACTAGTGTGCATATCACCGGTTAATAATGGACTTTTGTTGGTTGTATAATAAGACTAAAGGTAATAAAATGAAACCAAGGGGCGAGGCGAAAAGAAAAACATTAGCAGAGGTTGGGAGTCACTTACACAGGCAAGAATTGTGACGTGGTCTTAGGAAAATGAGAGGCAGGCAATAAAGGATCCTGCTAGACCCGCGTTATTCATGTTGAAGGACTTCATTTGGAGGATGCCCAGATAGATCACCGTGACCGGATGAATGGATATTTGGCTTTTAGGATACCTCAAGGAAACTTTTTTCAATATTAATTAACGGGATGTACCTTCAATGACACTTTCACCGTGAATGGAATATTTACCTTGAAGCTCTGTTTTGGGATTTCTCTTATTATTGAACTGTATGAGTTGCTAGAATGGCAGCTGAAAACATGGCACTTTATGTGGAAGGTAAGTAGTCTTGTGGAGAGTATCTTACATGTCCAGCTGTAAACAATACCTATATAGGCTATGGCTCTAAGGTGGTTTAAAGGACAATACCTGTGTCTTTATGCTTCTTCCTTCATTAAATCGTATCTAGGCTTTTGATGGAAAATATTTAAATCTGTTTTTCCTCACTTAAAATGCAAACCAACTGCCTTGTCAATCACTGGTTCATTTATGTCAGTAGTCTACAGTGTTAGAGACTGTAATTTTGCCTCACATGCTGCCTGGGTATTTGGCTTTTTAGGATACTGTACCTCAAGGAAACTTTTGTATTAATATGTATGTGTACGTTCAATGACACTTATCTTAAGTTTTTGGATTTATCTTATTATTTAACTGTATGAATGGCAGATAGAAACATGCTACTTTATGTAGAAGGTAAGTAGTGTTGTGGACTATTACATGTCCAGATGAAAACATTACATCTTAGGCTCTTCCATACTTGTGTTTTTTTATGATTTTCCCTTCACTTAATGTAAATGTAATGCCTTGTCAATCCCTGTTTTTCATGTATTTCAATAGTCTTCAGTATTTCAGACTTTCAAATCAAATCAAATCAAGTTTTATTTATATAGCACATTTTAAAAACGATTTTTGGTCGAGCCAAAGTGCTGTACATGCAATAAAAAATACTTTACTGCGATAGCAAACAGAAGACAATAAATTACAACAGCAAATATAAAAATCAAACACAGGGACATGTCAGGAGTCGTGCTCCGCTCTGACTAGAAGGCCAGGGAGAAGAAGTGAGTCTTTAGTGTCGTTTTAAAAACCCCTAGGGTCTGGGCCGACCTCACATGGAGGGGCAGAGTGTTCCAGAGCCTGGGGCCAGCTGCTGCGAAGGCTCGGTGACCTCTGGGTTTTAGCCTGGTCTTGGGCACTATCAGTAGCAGCTGGTCACCCGACCTTAAAGCTCTGGCTGGGGTGTAGTGATGGATGAGTTCTGCTATATAAGCCGGAGCCAGCCCATTTAGTGCTTTAAAAACAAATAAAAAGAGTTTAAAATCAATTCGGAACCTAATTGTAAGCCAGTGCAATGAGGCCAGAATTGGGGTGATGTGGTGACGCTTTTTATGGCCAGTGAGAAGACATGCAGCTGCGTTCTGCACTAGCTGCAGGCGTCTAATGAGACTTTGCCTCACATGCTGTCTGATCCATCACATGACTTACCATGCTGTCAAAGTTGTGAACACTGTTTGAAGCTTTCAACTGAATAAAGCTCTGATATCTGAGTTATTCAGCTACTTAAAGTTGTCCATACATTATCCTTTGTATCACTACATGAGCATTTTGCTTGCCTACTACATACCATATCTCTTGAATTGAATTGAGATGGATTATAAACTCTAAATTCTTAAATGGCGAAGCTTTACATGTGTACATAAACACACTATTAAACCTCAAATATTTGCATGGACCTTTACAAAAATGCTATCAAGTGGCGCAATAGATATGTTTACAGAGCTGTTAAAGCCAACCTTTAACAGCTCTGCCTAACTTTCTTTCGGTTTTACAAAACCTGGAATGTACCTGGATTTTCTAGGTCAATACTTCTTTAGATCTGATTACAAGTCATGCACTCGCTGCAAGGTTTCCTTACCTATCCAACCATATGTGTCCTGTGATGATCTTCAATTGACCCCTATATAGTGTGATAAGATAATATAACTGCTGTAATAACTTGAACAGTTTTCCTCTGTTTTTAAGCTTATCTGTGTTTAAAATCTTTTGCTCCTGATAACAGTTAGTAAATGATGTCAAGATTTCAACAGTCCAATTTCCTAAAACATGACATTTATACTGATGACATGCGAATAAAAAACAGCGAATTCTCAGGATATATCAAATGTGTTGTATTGCTTGAGTAATGACTCTAAAGGTTAATTGATCATCCAAAATGTTCTGTTGATGGACTAGTTGATTGGATTTCGACGGTTCGGATACATTGTTCTGTACTATAACAGTATGGTTTGGTACTCAGCTTCTGTGATGTAAAATCAGACTAAAAAGATGTACAGGAATGTCAGGTGAACTTTGGAAATCCCAACATACAAAACAACTTTACTAGCTTTGTTCAGTGTCAGACAAGGTGAAAGCAGATGGTTTGAATGAATAACACGGGTAGAAAATTGTTTTGAGGATCCAGAGTTAGAGCTGCAACCATTACAAAAAGTAGATCCACAACTATTTTAATAATAGATCTGTAAAGCTACAAAGAGCTTTGGGCAGAAAATGCAGTTTTTTAACCACTCAAATGCTTTTCTCTGGTAAGTAACATATTAAACTGAATATCTTTGTGTTTTTGACTGAGAAAACAAGACATTTAAAGACATCTCTTTGGACTTAGAGTAACTGGGCTGGACACGTTTCATTATTTCACTATTGTCATTTGATACACAAAACAAGTAGTTGATTAATCTAAACAATCTGCAGAATACTCAATAATGAAATAATAATAATAATAATAATAATACACTTTATTTGTATAGCACCTTTCATGCACAAAGCAGCCCAAAGTGCTTCACAGAAAACACAACAATATTAAAATAATATTAAAATGAATACAGAACGAGATCAAACCTCTACTGTGATAATATGTTAAAATAAAACAATTTAAAAAAGAAAATTAAACATGTAAAATAAAAGCAAAACAGAAAGAAAACAGTAAAACATAGACAATGATACTAGTGACAATTGAAAGTCAATCCAAATGAAAATCCATATTAAAAAATATAGGTTTTTAATTTGCTTTTAAACATTTTCAAGGGAGCTTGCTGATCTAAGATCCACGGGGAGGTGTTCCATAGTTTAGGGCCGTAGAAACAGAACGCAGCCTCCCCAGATCTCTTGTGTGATACCCTTGTAATTTCTAAAAGCAGGGCAGTGGAGGATCTAAAGGGTTCTTGTTGGAACATAAAAAGAAAGGCAGTCGCTGAGATAAGAAGGTGCTAGGTGATGTAAAGCTTTGTAAGTTAATGATCATGAAAGGAACATGTTAGATCAAGGGTGTCAAACTCAAATACACAGTGGGCCAAAATAAAAAATGGGTACTAGTCGAGGGCCGGACTGGTTCAATGTTTATTGCAAAACTTATTGAAATGAACTTATTGCACATATTAAACCTGGAACTAACAAAGCTTAAATTATTGCCTATTCCATTAAACATTAAATAATCAGTTGCATTCATTTCTTATGGCTCTATCTGCAGTCATTTCTTATAATTACATTTTTCCACAGGCCAACAACAGCTTCAAAAAAACAATTTCCCTCAAAGAGAAAACCAAACATGCCCTGTTGTCTCAAGAGAAAAAGTGCAGAAGGAAACATCCATTGAAACTCAGTGTGCTGCTCTGTGATGCTAGTTCAAGCCAGATACTTGGCATCTCATCTTGGGTGCAAGTTCATCAATGTTTGGGGTCAGGCTCTGAGCGGAGGAGACCCTCAGGATTGAGTGAAGGTGTGCGTCCAATATGCCGGCGGGCCAGATCTAATAGTAATTAGCAATTATCCTGCGGGCCGAAATTAAATCCACCAAGGGCCTGATTTGGCCCCCGGGCCTTGAGTTTGACACGTGTGTTTAGACTGTGTGTTGCAGCAGTGTAAAAAACGTTGTAACCCCATCTCCCTCTCTCTGTCCGCTGAAGGTCTGAATAAAGGAGCGGCCAACGGGGGGATGGCTCAGTTCCAGGAAATGATGCGGCAGCAGCTGGAGAGCTCGATGAACGCAGAGCTGGAGAAACTGCTGGACAGCACCAAGGGCTCAGATAGAGAGGTACACCAACCTCTCTCTCTCTTTCCTTCTCTGTCTCCCCCTCTCTCTGTCTCTCCCTCTCTGATTCTCTCAGAGCATCTGGATGTGATTTAAAGGCTGGTTGGGTCACACACTAACACTGGAAAAGCACAAAAGTGACACATACTGTAGCGCAGTGCCAATAAGGAGACCCACCTTCATGCTTACAGACGCACACATACTTAAAGTGTACGTCAGAAGGTGAGGTTTAGGCAAACGTTCATCATCAATTATGATATAATGCGTCATTAGGGACTCCCAGCTCATATGAGACACCATATATTTTTCCTGTTGGCCCCAAATATAATTCTGTTGTTAGGAGTAGCCCCATGTTAATCCAAACTTGAGACTGTCTCAGCAATAGCAGCAAGAAAACTAGATTTGAGCGTCATTTCATCTGTTTTCTCTTTCCTAAGACGTTCATAGACCTTGAGACAAATCTGTCACTAAATAAAAAATTGCGTCCTAACACACTGTTTGACTCTTTTAGACGCTAACCAGGCACTCTCAATCTGCCACCTATCACAAAAGAAAAAGAGGTCACTCAGTACTTGACTCACACTTTGACTCCTTAAGTGTTTTCACATTTAAAGCGTGTGTACTTTCAATTCACAGTACTAGCAGTTATGCAATAAATAAGCCATGTACACACGCACATCTGTAGAGTACACACACATTCTTAGTTAATCACCGTTTGAGCTGAGCCGGTTTCTATTGCTTACCTTTTTCCAAGACCTTAGATGCCTTTTGTTCACTAATAGTCTTTCTTATTAATAGATCTGTAATTATCAATGTCATCATAAGACCGCAGAATGCTTTCAAACCACACCTCTGGGTTAACTACATTTTTTATTAATTATTTTTGACCTACACACACAACAATAATAACAATTGGTGCCCTTTCGGAAGCAGATTGTACATTTATTAAGTGAATGAATCTCTGATTGAGCCGAACTGCATATGTGACACATTTCTGCCCACCTGTTTGACATTAATGATGTTTTAAATAAAATGCTTTTGTTTTTCAGGTGTCCAGGAAAGACTTTGAGGGTTTCAGGAATCTTTTCCAAAGATTTCTGCAGGTGAAGGGACCTTCAATAGAGTGGATCAAGATACAAAGACCTCCAGAAGACTCGGTGAGTTTGTCAGGGTTTTTATTTTTGTGTGTGTTCTGCGCTAATGGGCTTGTATTGAAGAGAGCGAGAACATCACGTGTTTGTATCTCCTATAGGAACTTCTGTTGTTTGCCAAAAGCTCTTCATGTTTCTGCATCTTACAAGTGAAGATATATGAAGTTTGTATTGTCTTGTCACGAGAAAACTAAGCTAAGACTATAATGAATATCACAACACAAAACACTCCAGGAAGTCCATTAATCATTTATCCTCCTTCTCAATGATTACAAGACCAACAGTAAAATGACACTGAGGTACAAATCTAATATACGTTTATATGACGTGTGTCACCAGTGCACACAATCAGAACTGACCTTTGAACACCTTTTTTTTGTTGAAAACATTCCCCAATACGACACCTCTCGTTGCGTCTTCAGGTGGCCTCAGGTCTGGTGCACAAAGCAGGTTAACAATGGGAAATGAAAGAAACCGTATTCAGCTTTTCACCTCGAGTCAGGCGTGTGTTTTTAGACACGGGCGCACTCCTATTCCAGCACCCATCACTCATCATGAGGAGCTGTTGTGAAACCACTTGAAACTTCAGAAACATCCGACGAGATGACGGCAAACAAATTCTGAAAAAGTTAAATGATAGAGCTGCACTCAAAAGTTTGAGGTTTCATTCCTAAAGCTGACTGAATTTTTAATCAACCAGTCTTTTGTTCAAGTCTACTGATTCAGTTTAAACCTGGTATTTCTGCACAGTTGCAGACAAAGACTAGGCTACACTAATATCATTGCTATACTATTAGTAGAATTAGATTCCAGTAGTAGCTGCATAAGATTGTTTACGACTTGTGTTCTCCTAACATCTCCAATAACTCAAGTGCGTTGTAAAGTCCAAAAGTCAAGTTTTATTATTCTGCTCCACTACATATTTGTTGGCATTTAACCTTGGCAATTTCACCAATTTCTCCAAAAGCTTTTACGTAAGAAAGTCGATTTAACAAAAAAAACTACTTTAATTTGTCAGTCTCTTTTTCCACTTAAGGATTCTTTTTCAGGTCACAGATGTTTTATAATGTCACGTCATAAAATCAAAGGTTAATTTTAAGCTATTAAAACATATTTTTGGTACGGCCCTTTTTAAGCGATGCTCATCAACTCTTTACTTGTTGTGGTTTTGCGTGTTATCTGCCAAATGATATACCTCAGTTAATAAGTAAATGGTCCTGCCTGACTCTCTACTACTTCCCTGATGGCTCCCACAGGATTGTTGACATCCTCGTGGATTCATCTTCTTATTATAGAGACATGCATTTCCAAACATTTGGTCTACCTATGTTGTAAATGTATTATCTCTTCGATGTACACACGGCATCTATTGCACGTCTGTCCGTCCTGGGAGAGGGATCCCTCCTCTGTTGCTCTCCCTGAAGTTTCTCCCATGTTCCCATTTAAACTGTGGGGTTTTTTCTTTGGATGTTTTTTAATCAACATTTAAAAAACACTTTGTCCCAACAGTAAAAACACTTAAAACATGACCTGATTACTCAGCATGTGTTAATGATTTTCTTTTAATGACATATTTCCACCACATGAAAAAGGGCCTCATAGATAAGGTCAAGTGACATCAGAGATAACAGTGTTACAGTGTCCTGAAGAGTCATAAATATCTGTTTCCACTCAATGTTAATCTGGGTGTGTGATGACAGCTTGAATAGGAAAAGCCTGGCTGAAGTCCAAGTGGAGCTATTTGAGGCTTAATAGTTATTATTTAGTCAGAGTAAGTATTACTAAAGTGTATTCAACTTGGCCTGGTGTGCTCTTGAGTCTCGTGTGTTTTCACTCAGACAAACAGAACTGTAAATCATTCATCTGTTTTATTGAAACAGCATAAATCAAACATGTGGCTCATGGTCATGGACTCGTTTATTACATGATTTATTTCGTAAATCTAAGGGTATTCAGTGCCAAATTTAGCAATTACATGAACATTAGACTTAATGAAATCTTAAATTTGAGAGCAGTACAGTTACAGATAAGCTGTAAACAAAGTGGTATCAGTTTTAAATTAAAACATTGCGTAACAAAGGGGCGGTTTTAACCAGTCTAACCACAGTTTAATGGCCAGGAAATTCGCTTTAGTGTTCAAGTTTTCTTTATCCTGAGAGTTTGAAACCAGTCCTTTCAACTTAACACTTTTAATTAAATGACATTTGTGATTCATGACACCTCCACTGTTACAGCTCAGTTGCATGTCAGAGGAAACAACGAGTCCATTGTCACTTGTTTCCCATTTCTTCCAAGCCAAAGCCATGTGGGATATTGCTGCAGCGGAAGTATTCAGAAGTCCTTAACAAAAACTGTTTGATAGTGAGAGCAGAGCAGTCACACAGTCAGGGGGGTTTGAGTCCCATGGGAGACACCAATATAGGAATGATATGCTCTAGTCTTTGCATTTTGAAGCATTTGTTAAGTGAGTGGCACATCAGAATAATCTGCAGCTTCAGCATCATCAACATTTAAACCAGTGAGATACATGGAGTTGAGTTTAGAGGCACAGAGACAGTGTTTTTCTTATTATAGATTCAGGTTGAAATGTAGTTTTTTAAGACATTAGTCATTTGACGCATTACGGTGATAATGCTTCAGTGAGGGTCAGGCAAACTAATATTTCCATAATATTGTTCTGGTTTTGCAGAGTTTTGAAAACAAAAATGGACTTGAGGTGACTGAATTGGTCATAAAGGAACCCCTGCCTGAAATAGACTGCTTTGTTTACTTTCATAACATAGTGACATCACTATGTAACACCCATACTTCTATAGAGTGCCACAGTGACGCGTCCTAAAACCCGAAAGTAAGCTTCTTCCGGTTCCTTCGACAAAAACCAATGCAATTATCATCATAAATCAATCGATCATAAATCTATCGATTAGATTTATGATTCGAAAATTATAAAAGTAGGGTAGTCATGTGGATATTATCCGGCTGAACAAAACGTGATCTGTCTCTTAAATGTGTGTCAACCACAGACCTTATTTCGAGCTATTTTCCAAAATCCTATGGAGAAATTGCATTGGTTTTTGTCGAAGGAACCGGAAGGAGTTTACTTCCGGTTTTTAGGACACGTCACTGTGGCACTCTATTGCCTAGCGCTCCAACACATTGTACGTGATGTGAAGGGGCGGGACATCTCTAAGCAGTTGACCAATCACACCAGAGCAGGCCAGCTAACCAATCAGAGCAGACTGGGCTCTGGTTTCAGACAGAGGGTGAAAAGAGGTGCTGCAGCACAGGCAGTATGAGAAAAATAAAGAGCTTTTTGAACATTAAAGCATGGAGACATGTCCCAGTAGAGACACTACATACAAATATGATCCTGAAAATGAGCATACTGTATAGGGCCCCTTGAATTAGTCAGCTTGTGCTTCCTATACAAGTTGCTGATGCCTTTGGAGATTGTTCATGCTGATAGCTTGAACAACATTGTTATCTTGAATAACATTTGTATCTCCACTTTCACACATACAAAGCCAATCAAAGTGCCGACTCATCAGAGTTTCTTCGAGGTGCTTGTGCAGGATTTCCTGGTTCCCTTTAACTGAAAGTAACTCTCATTTTGTAGCTCTTCCTTAGTTTCCAGTCACAAGGGATGCTTCTGTCTGCTGAGACACTGAGTTTCCATGTTATGTGTAAACTTCAAAGTGCAAGACTTAAAGGTTTAACAGAGTTTTGAAACAAAATAGGATTAGGTTTCACCTCAAGGGAGGATCTTTGAAGTGTGAACGCAGTGTTATGTGTCAGTCAAAGTGTTGCACATGAGAGAAGCCTGTACTGAGATACATGACTGTTTGTTTGCTGTGTTTGAAACACTGAGAAACTTCCTGCTTCCTCTCCTACTGTGACTTTGTGTTGAACTCAGCCAAGTTGTTAAGAAGCTGGAAATCGTCATGATGAAATATCTTTTGCCCAGATACAATCATTTATTTTTAATTCACTGTGAAGTAAAACAGGCCTTTCTCCTTGTTTACAATCCAAGTACAGTGGTCTGTTTTATAGAGAACAATGGGTTGATCCTCATGTGTTTTTATTTTGTTGTCATGGTAGAAATATGAGTCATAATATAATTTAAAACAGTGCCGCTGTGAAGTGTTAAAGGGTAAGGAGAGATGTGTGCTGAGGCATTAAAGCAGGCAAAACACACACCCATGTTACATCTCAAAATGATGCACATTGTTTTAATTGTCCCCACATTCCTCACCAGCTTGCATGGATTAGTGTCTCAGGATTTAATACCCTGACAATAGTCTCTAATAAGTCTCTTATTAAGGACGGGCATACAATGATTTTCATGTGTGAGCATTTTTTACATTATCTTCTGTCATTAAAAGTCATGTGACAGAAGTTCACATTTGAAAACCATCGTGTGTCTAGAGCAGGGGGGTCAAACTCAAATACACAGTGGGCCAAAATAAAAAAATGGGTACTAGTCGAGGGCCGGACTGGTTCAATGTTTATTGCAAAACTTATTGAATGAACTTATTGCACATATTAAACCTGGAACTAACAAAGCTTAAATTATTGCCTATAAAAACAACATTAAACATTAAATAATCAGTTGCATTAATTTCTTATGGCTCTATCTGCAGCTTTTCCAGAGTCATTTCTTATGATTACATTTCTCCACAGGCCAACAACAGCTTCAAAAAAACTATTTCCCTCAAAGAACAAACCAAACATGCCCTGCTGTCTCAAGAAACAAAGTGCAGAAGGAAACATCCATGTAAACTCAGTGTGCTGCTCTGTGATGCTAGTTCAAGCCAGATACTTGGCATCTCATCTTGGGTGCAAGGTCATCAATGTTTGGGGTCAGGCTCTGAGCGGAGGAGATCCTCAGGATGGAGTGAAGGTGTGATTTGCCCCCCGGGCCTTGAGTTGGACACATGTGGTCTAAAGGGATGTGTTTTGATTTCTGATGTGGATTTTTATACGTGATTTCCTGAAGCTTCTCCACC